GAGAGGCCTATATAAGGAGCCATCTCCCTCATTTGTACTCATTCCATCATTTTTGAGAGTAATACACACTAGAGAGTTCTCCCATTTCCTTTGTCTTTGTTCTTGTTCTTTGCATTCAAGTGAGTTGAGAGAAAGGCTGCCTAGCGCTCTAACGGAATTGAGAGCTAGGGCCGCACGATCGAGAGTAAGGTCGTGACAAGTGGTATCAGAGCCTGGTTCGGCTTTGTGCTAGCAAAGTTGAACCTAGAGCCAGAAGGAAAGGAAGAACCTCACCAAAAATGACGGGATCAGAAGTCCACGACGATGAGAAGCACCGTGGAAGGGATACCGTGAAGAATCCCAAACCAAAGGGTGACAAGTCAAGCACTCGTGATCCTATGACGTCTCTAGAGAGGCGTGTCTCTAGAATGGAGGTGAAGTTGGCGGAAGACATCAGTGCCATCGAGGATTTGGGAGCAAACTTCACCCAAGTCGAAAGCGATTTTCAAGGTATGAATGCTCGTTTGTCGAGCTTGGAGATTGGTAATGATGGCTTACGAGAAGAGCTTGTGGCCCTCATCAACAACACCATCACCACATCCTTGAACAACGCCATTGGAGTTGTGAAAGAGCAAGTCCAGGCTGAGCTGGTCGGCGTGAAGGAGGAGATTGCAGATCTCAAGAGTGAGGTCACTCTCGTGAAGAGAGCCATGGCTAGCGGACCAGCCACGGTGCAATCCGTCCCACGTGCTGATATTCCAAGACCGAAGAGCTTCGGAGGTTCACGGAATGCGAGGGAGTTAGAGAACTTCCTTTGGAGTCTTGAGCAGTACTTCAAGGCGTCCGGCATCCAAGAGGATGAGGTAAAGATTCGTACCGCTCCACTTTACTTGGTTGATGTTGCCATGGTGTGGTGGAGGCGACGTGAAGCGGACGTCGAAAGAGGTACTTGTGTGATGGCAACGTGGGAAGATTTCAAGAGAGAAATCAAGAGGCAGTTCTACCCAGAGAACGTGGAGTTTGAAGGCCGTTCGAAGTTGAGAAGACTCACCCAGAGGGGTGGAGTTCAAGAATACGTGAAAGAATTCTCGGAGCTGCTTCTAGAGATCCCGGACATCACGGACAAGGAGGCCATGCACGGCTTTCTTGATGGGCTGCAACCATGGGCCAAGATGGAGATGCAACGTCGAGGAGTGCAAGACCTTGCAACTGCCATGGCCACGGCAGAGTCTTTTGTCGAGTACAAACGACAAGAGAGCAGCGGCAGAGAGAAGAGTTCGAAGCCCAACAAGGGTGGAGAACAGCAGAAGCCTTTCAAGGAGGGTTCTCGCACTCAACAACACCAAGGTGGTTCGAGCAAAGGGGGTAAGTACGAGCCAAAACCCATGACTTGTTTCCTTTGCGACGGACCACATCGAGTGCGAGATTGCCCAAGAAAGGCGAGATTAGCAGCCATGGAAGCTCAAGATGAGGAGCCCAAGGCGGCGGAGGCCAAGATTGGCTCAATCCGCAAGCTTGGCGCGGCAAAGACCGACGTCAAGGAGAGCAAGCGGGGGAGGTGCTATGTTCTGGCGCAATTCATGCAAGGCGAGTCAAAAGCCTTGGTGGATACCGGTGCCACGGACAACTTTCTTCGCGTCGAGGAGGCAAACCGGCTGGGTATTGCCTACGAGAAGGGGCAAGGGAGGCTCAAGACGATCAATTCGGAGTCCATCCCGATTCATGGAGTGGCGCACAACGTACCAATAAAGCTTGGCGAGTGGGAAGGCCTCATCGACTTTTCCGTCGTCACCATGGACGATCACCCAGTCATCCTCGGCATCCACTTCCTCGACAAGGAGGGAGTGCTTTTGAAGCCCAACTCCAACACGATGTGCTTGGAGAAAGAAGGGGAGTTCCATTCGATTCATCTCTTGAGAGAAGATGGTCCCCATAGTGCTCTATCGGCCATGCAAGTGGTGAAGGGGTTCAAGAAAAATGAACCAACCTTTCTTGTGTCCTTGAAGACGGAGGAAGAAGGAGGCTCAACGGGAATCACAACTCCCATCATCGAAGGTGTCCTCGAAGAGTTCGATGATGTGATGCCATCAGAGTTGCCCAAGAAGCTGCCACCAAGAAGAGAGGTAGACCACAAGATCGAGTTGGAGCCGGGAGCGAAACCCCCTTCGCGAGCACCATACCGCATGTCGCCACCGGAGTTAGAAGAATTGCGGAGGCAACTCAAGGACTTGGTGGACGCAGGCTACATGCGGCCATCGAAGTCACCTTTTGGAGCACCGGTGTTGTTCCAAAAGAAGAAGGAAGGGTCGTTGCGGATGTGCATCGACTATAGAGCCATCAACAAGTTGACGGTGAAGAACAAGTGGCCGATTCCCAACATTGCTGACTTTTCGACCAGCTTGGAGATGCGATGTGGTTCACCAAGCTAGATCTTCGCTCGGGCTACTATCAAGTGCGGATAGCAGAGGGCGACGAGCCAAAGACGGCTTGTGTGACGAGGTATGGCTCTTACGAGTTTCTT